CAAGTTCCTGCAAAGTCCATATGTTTGTCCTTCTTTATGGCTGCATAATATTCCACTGTGTATATGTACCATATTTTTTTATCCAGTCCAGCTTCGATGGGCAGCCTTGTTGGTTCCATGTTTTTCTCTTGTGTATAGAGCTGCAACAAACACGTGTGAGCAAGTATCTTTTTTGTAGAATGACTTGTGTTCCTCTGAGTATATTCCCAGCGTGGGGCTTGCTGGGTCATATGGAAGGTCAATTTCTAGTTCTTTCAGAAATCGCCACAATGTCTTCCAAAGAGGTTGCACTAGGTTGCATTCCCACCAGTAGTGTAGAAGCATTCCTTTTTCTCTGCATCCTCACCAGCATCTGTTGTTGTTTGTTTTCTTAATGATGGCAATTCTTACTGGAGTTAGGTGGTATCTCAATGTGGTTTTGATTTGCATTTCTCTGATGATGAGTGAAGCTGAACAGTTTTTCATGTGTTTGTTGACTGCCTGTATATCTTCTTTTGAGAAGTATCTATTTATGTCTTTTGTGCACCTTTTAATGGGGCTGTTTGTTTTTTTCTTTTGTTGTGTTTGAGTTCCTTGTAGATCCTAGATGTTAGGTCTTTGTCAGATATACAGTTGGCAAATACTTTTTTTCATTATGTGGGCTGCCTCCTTGCTCTCTTGATGGTTTCTTTTGCTTTGCAGACACTCGTTAGTTTGATGAGGTCCCACTTGTCTTATTTCTTTCTTTTTTTTTTCATTAATCAGTATTTTTTATTATGGTTTTGTGGGGTACAGTTAAGGGTAGGTGTACAATGACGTTTCATTCTTGCACCCTGTACATAAGAATTGTTTTTCCCCTCCCCCGACAGATATTTGCTACTGTTAATCCCATCCCCCTCCCCCCCATAGTTTCCCAGTACCATCCGTCATTTTCTCATAGTATTACATTGGATGTTCAAGGTCCATTATATGAGTGAGAACATGTGATATTCGGATCTTTGTTTCTGTGAGAGGTCACTCAGTATTATAGACTCTGGAATTACAGGCATGAGTCACTATGCCTGTCTTCAAATTATCATCAAAATATAAGCTTTTGGCAAATAATACTTTTACCATTAAATCACAAATTTTTGCTAAAAGACTCTCATTGCCTTGGTAATTGCATTTTCTCAGTATAGTTGAAATAAGATTCCTTCTTAGATATTTCAAACATTTAAAAATAATAAAGATAATAAGTTTTTAAATCATGAGTAAATATTTTAAATTAAGAAGCTCTTAATTTCAGTGCAGTCCAATGGTATTGTTTTTTGATTAGTGTATTTTGTATTCTGAACAAATCATGGTCATGAGATTCTCTCCTTTGTCTTTAACACGTTAACCTTTCAACACATTAAATTTTTCAAGAATTTTTGTTTCACATTATACATTTAGCTCTACATACTCCTGGAACTGATTTTTATGAATAGTTTGATGTGGGAAACAGTGTCCTTTTCTATATTGATGTTGTCTCAGTACAGTTTATTAGAAAGACCATCCTTTCCCCAAGGCATTGCAGGGGCATATTTATCACAAATCTGGTGATGTTTTTGAGTGTGATTATTAATACTCTATTCTATGCTGCTGTTCTATTTAGTTATCACAGCTTTATAAGCTTTGTTGTTCAGCAATCTGAGTTCTCCAACTCAGTTCTTCATGTTGTTGAGGCCTTTGGTCCTCTCAATTTCTGCAAAGCCAAACTTTCTTGAATTTTAACGGGAATCACAATAAATTTAAAGATCAGTTTGGAGATAAATGACATCTTAATGATAATGAAACTTCCAAATATGTGTGCTATTCCCTAACTTATTCATCTCTTTAAAATTTTTCCAGCAGTGATTTGCAGTTTTCAATGTAGAGATACTGCAAATATTTAATTCAAAATTTTCCTAAATATTAGGAGATTCTTGATGCCATTACT